CCAAATTGCGTGTGGTGTTTGACGCTTTTAGTGAGACGTCAACGGCTCTATCATTAAACGAAACGTTAATGGCTGGGCTGACTATTCAGAGGGAGCGTTATTCAACATGTGTAAATTTTCGGTTGAATAAATACGCAATTACTGCCGACATCTCCAAGATGTACAGGCAAATAAACGTGTCTGAAAAAGACAAAAAGTACCAGCTCATTCTCTGGCAAGAAAGCGCCTCTCATGAGCTGCAGTTGAACACTGTAACATACGGGACTGCATCAGCGCCATTTTTAGCTGTGCGCTCGTTGTTTGAATTGGCAAATATTTATGCTCGATGTCACCATGTCGCGTTAAATGTCATTAAAAATTGTTTTTATGTTGACGACATGCTGGCTCCTCATAATGATGTATTTCGTTATCATCTGCATGAGGATAACTTTACTTCGTTGAAGCCGACAAAGCGGAATGTATTATCTCGTTTGTCTGAGCAACTTGGACCTTTGTGCCCCATCGTCACAGCGGCCAAAACTCTGTGGCAAGAGCTGTGGCGATTTAAGATGTTAGTTGGGCTGCTAAAGCAACAGATTTGGGTGATAAATACTCGTAGGTTTTGCTCAGCAGTTTTACATAACTGCCTTCGATGCAAGCCCAAGTTAGTTGAGCAAATAATGAGAAATTTGCCAGGTGATCGCCTTCGAGAAGGTCGACCTTTCAGGGTTTGTGGACTCGAACTTTGCGGCCCATTCCATGGTAGCTATCGCATACGCGGAAGACCGCCCGTTACAAATTACGTAGCGGTATTCGTTTGTTTTGCCTCGAAGGCCGTTCACCTCGAACTGGTAGCTAATTTATCCACTGATACTGTCCTTAACGTCTTTACAAGGTTCATCGGGAAGCGCGGCCTGCCGGAAATGGTCTTTAGCGACAACGTGACGAACTTCGCGGGAACAAGCGGCTTGCTGAGGGACATGCCGTCGGCTTTCGAGCGGAGAAAGGACGCCCTGACGGACTATACGGCAGAGCGACGAATCGATTGGTGGTTTATTCTTCCCCGACCTCCTCACATAGGAGGATTGTTGGAGGCAGCGGCGCTGCTAGGCGACCAGTCCACGATGTTGGCGGTGCTCCGTGTGGATTTGAAAGACCGGGAGTCCTTCAAAGGGGCCGGAATGTTGGAGCACCCTACTTAGCTTCTAAGCCTTTTCTTTGCGCTCTCTATCGCGCCCTTTACTGCGATCTCTGTGGCGCTCTCTTTGTGCATTCTTTTTCTTATGCCGGCCCGCTGACTTGTAGCGGCAGCAGGCAAATCACTTGCTAAGTAATTCTCGCACGTTCAACATCGTTTGTACAATTTCCAAGCCATTAAAAGCCATATTAATAATCGAAGAATACCGCGTCTCATTTAATAAATAGTTAAATATTGTTTGTTGCAATCGCTAAAAAGCTAGCGATTTTTCAGGCAGCACGCATTTTTTGTTTGCGGCATGCACAGAAATGCTTTCAAGATGAGTAACAATTGCTTCGCGCCAACAAATCACTACGGAACCAATCGCAACTGGCAAAGCTTTTCCCAATTATTGACAAGGAAAACTTACTACAAACAACCAATCGTCCTATCCAAGAATCATCGAATTACAAAAATGTTATTGGAATACGAGCACCGTGTAAACCTACACCCTGGTGTTTCTGCACTGTTCGTTACTGTAAAGCAAAGCTTCGGATATTCGCCGCACGTAATATTATCAGAAGAATCACGCATGATTGTTTGTTATGTTTTCGACAGCGGCAACATACATCGCATCAGCAAATGGCTGATTTACCTAGTATACGCATAACTCAAGCACTTCCTTACGTAAATTCAGGATGCGACTATGCTGGACCGATCATCCTCAAGGAAGGTAGCGGGCGCAAACCGCGCATAGTCAAAGGCTAGATATGATTATTTGTCTGACCAGTGACATCGGCAATACACCTGGAACTTGCCACTGACCTAAGCAGTGAAACATTCCTAGTTGCACTGCGTCGCTTCATGTCCCTGCGGGGTAAGTGTGCCAAAATCTACAGCGACAACGGCCCGAATTTTGTTGAAGCAAAGCGAGCACTTGATGAAATGCAAGCGCTTTTGGCATCGCATCTGGTCACAAGATCACTAGCAGATGAAGCAATCCAGTGGGTATTTATCCCACCACATGCTCCTCACTGGGGAGGGAAATGGGATTCGGCTGTTCGATCAGTCAAACAGCACCTTCGACGCGTCATTGGAAATTCTACCCTTACGATTGAACAAATGCACACATTGCTTGCAGAAATTAGCGCAGTGGTTAACTCACGCCTGCTATGCTATACCTCAGATGGTGAGCTAGACTACCTTTCACCAGCACATCTTTTAATTAGGCGACCATTCACGACCATACCGGATACTGATTTGGTCATATTAAAGTTGGCCGAGTGGGCTACTGGCAGAGCATTTATGGCACATCGCCCAAGTGAGCAGATTGAAGGATTATTTTATTGATATTTGCTGTTTCTTTATTTATGTTTGAAGATATGTCTATTTTTGAGTTAAATGTTGAGGTAAGAGTGTGAAATTTGGGCCAGTCAGCTTTGTCTAATTTAAAGATTGGTTAATGGTGTGGTGTGTTATTGTGGTTTTGAAATAAAGTTATTAGTATTGGGAAGTGGTCGCTTCCATTAAGATTGCCTGTGATGGACCAGTTTGCTTCTGTTATGATAACCGGTCTGCAGAGGGTGAGGTCTATATGTGTTAATGTGTTGCGTTTTGTAAAGTGAGTAGGTGACTTATCGTTCATTAGTATTAGATTATAATTTTGGATGAATTTGGCTATTGTGTTGCCCTTTTTATTATTTCTTTGGTGCCAACTATTGAATCCTCCAACTATTATGGTGTTATGTTGGAAGTTAAGGACATTTTGGAAGTTGAGAATGTTGAAATTTTGCGTAGGAGGCATATTGTTTTGAAGGCTAATTTCTTTAGTGTGTAGAGAATTGTGTGTTAAGATTGCCACCACGCCGAAGTGTGGTGAAGTATTGAATGTAGTGTGTAGTTTATTGGGATTGGGATATTTGTGGAGGTATGTAGGTGTGTTTCTTGCAATGCTATTACATTTGGATGGAATTTATTTATTAGTATTTGTAGTTCTAGATAGTTGTATACATTTAAGTGTCATAGTTATTTGTTTTAAGTTTTTAATTATATTTTAATGAGTAGTTTTGTTGGCTTTTATTTTTATTTCTGTTTTTTCTTTGGCTTTAAAGGGGGTGGAAACGTAGTTTTATCTTTTTTATATAGACTTAGCTTAAGATCTGAGCTAATTTGTGATAGAGTGATGAATCGTATTCTGATGAAATGTCCATTAGGTCATTTTTTTTCGTTTTCGGAATCGGGGTTAAATTTGCAGTTTATTCAGCTTTTGCTTTTGGTGCATGGTTCATTATCTTTCGTGTGTTCTTTTGAGAGAAATTATAGCAAGTTTAGGTGCTTTTGCAGATCGCTTTTGGGTGACAGAAAAGAAGGCAGTTTTTGCATCGTAGTGGAGGAGGGACGTAAAGCCTTACGTGAACTTTTTCATACCCGATTGAAAGCTTTTCTGGGAGTTGGTGTGTGGCGAACGTAACGATGATAAGCCCCGTTTCTATAAGTTTGTCTTCTTGCTTTCTTAATATTTTGCGGAATTCTGTTAATTTTTGTGGCTTTAGCTCTAAAAGTATTTTGCTCTCTTCTAGTTCATGGAGTAAATGACACCTTTTGTTGAGTTTAGTGTTTTATGTTCGGTTGCTGTAACACTGAGATCTGCTACTGCTTTAATTTTTAGTAGTGATGAGGAGTGTACCTGCATCGGTTTTTTTTACACAAGTCGACTTCGTCTCCGCAGGTGTAGTCGAAGCATTTTTTTATTATTCGTTAGACTTTTCGTTGCTTGTTGCAGTTCTTTTTAAATCAGGTGGTTTCATTGTTATTGTTTTTGGGCTTAAGCCTGGCGCTTGCAATTTTCACTCGTTGCTTTTGGTTTTTTTTTTCACTTATTGTTTTTCAAGGCTTGTAAGAGTCAGTTGATGGCTCTGGTCAATGACCTCTGGTTATTCACTGTTGTCGTAGTCACACGTCTATACTTGAAGAGGGTTGAAGTGAAACTGACGATATATTCATGAATAAATAGCCTCCATGCAGAAATTGGCTTATTATTTTAAACGCATCGCTTAGCGTATGGCGAAGGCTCTGGAATTTCTCTAGTATATCTTGCTGGCTTCGACGTCCTAATCCAACAGCGTCTGCAGAAATGCAAGTCCATTCTGTGCCGTTCTTGCTATGTGTAACATACCGATTTCTGGTACACTACTTACCGCTGCTTTCATATGCAGTCAATTTGACGTTGTGCGGCCTTAGTAGGTATTTGTAAAAGAATCTCATTATCTACATATAATTGAATAGTTTTTTATATAGATTCAGGATAAAATTATAACATGAGGAAAAGTCATAAAATATGAAAATAATCAGAAACATAGTTCGTAAAATATTAATGAATGAAATCGCTGAGCCGTCAAATTGACCGCCGTGGTCTTTCTAGTGTTAACTCACACACAGAGACAAACAGAGTCAAACAGAGACACACAGAGACATACACAGGCACACAGACACGCATACATAACATATAAATAGATCTGATGAAAATTTGCAGGCAAAATGTCGTAAAGAACCGCATGACACGTGTTGTCTTAGTGGGAAAATGAAATTGGCCGCAGAACCACTGGCCTATCACCAACGTGGAAGATGACAAAAATACCATTTGCCCACATAAGTTCCGATATATAGTAAACAAATCAGCAAGAAATGTTGGCCATGTAAACGGTATAATACAGTGGAGCGAAAGTCAGGTATATACATATATGTACATATATATTCACGTTTGTGTGCACATGCATATGGACTTCAAAAAAATTTCCATCAATACTTCTTTATGTGAACACTTTTTATTTAAGTTGGAACTCACCCACAGTCAGTTGTCTTCTTTTAAACTTCAATAAGTCGCGGCTTCATGAAACTAGAACTTAACAAGTTTGTACCGTTTATTACACCATTTTCAAATTAAGCCAAAGGTCAGCTTCTAGACGAACTTTCAAAATAAAACAAACACATCACAGGAAAAACTTCCAGGGAGTCTTTTCCCCAGCGCATGCGCAGAAATTTTCTTATTCTAAAAACATAACTGTGTTTAGTTTGAGTATCTTTTTTCCTATCGGAAATGCTTCTAAGTTCACAAACAGTTTTTCGGTAATGAATTTTGTACTTATTTTGATTAGAATGGCCCGTTGCACAGTGGTCCCAAATCCAAAGTTTTATACTCTGTACATGAAATGTACAACAGTATATTAGGTTTACGGGAGCTGAAAAATGTAACAGGCAGAAGGAGGCGTGGGAGACCCCACAAAGTATATATATTCTTGATCAGCGGAACAAGACGAGTCGATCTACCCCTGTCTGTCTGCCTGTTCGCCTGTCCGTATGAGCACCTGGATCTCAGAGACTATAAGAAGTGTGCTGTGCAAGTTTGTTTTATTTTTTTTGAGGGGCTCCAACGTTTGCATGAAAAATCTACAATTTTTACCTGATTAACTTCAAGCTTAGTTTGTATACTCTAAGAAAGAATACAAAACCAGACAGAACGCTACAGTCAAGCAAGCCCGACAGTAAAATAGCCTGTACTCTCCACAAAAAAAGAAAAATTATTAAAAAAAACTAAATTCTTAAAAAGAAAATGGAATTAATTAACTGAATTAAATAAAATTTATTTAATATATACATAGAAAACATGCTTATGTACAGTTCCAACAGCATACATCATCGGGGCTTTGCGTGTTTATATGCATGTAATTATATCAAAGCAGCAACAACAGCTGCGGGCAGAGCTTCGGCAGATAAAATATTTATTGCTATAACTTTCGTCATAATTAACCTACCTTAATGAAACTTGGCATACGGACTCATAAACATTAAGGAGGTATTTGCCAAAACTGATTAAAAAATTCCCTAAATTATGGGAAATCCCTTTTGGGTATAAAAACTGTAAGCTTGGTTTTTATTAAATATTTTTCCTGATTCCGATAAGTCTAAATCATTCAAAATATTTTTATACCCTGTACCCAAAGGGTAAAAGGGTATACTAGTCTTATGCGAATGTACTTGTATGTAACACACAGAAGCAGGCATGGCAGACTCAACAAAGTATATATATATTATTGTTCCTGTAGTATGTTGTGTGCCAAATGAGCATATGCCCACAGTATTGTAGAGTATACAATATAACAAGTGGTCATGTGCCCAACTTAAAGTAAGAGTAACAACTCAACAATAAGCATAGCAACACTTTGTTGCTATGCTTATACAATCATAAATACACATACATAAGTGCAGTAATAGGATCCGTCACTTATGCGGACTGGCCGCAGCGTGAGATCGCTGGCGTAAGCACTTCTTGAGTGTGTACTATCTGTGCATAACTACAGGCACATACATACTGCAACTCTCTCTCTCTGCCGACGCTTTTAGCGGCAGAGCTCACTTAGAATATTGTATGAAATAAGCCAAACATAAAATTGAATAAAACCGAGAGAACACTCTCGATCGAAACCTAAAACATGCAAGACGTCTATTTAATTTAACATTCCGGATGACAAGACGAGTCGATATGGCCATGTCCGTCTGTCCGCCTGTCTGTCCATCTATATGAACGCAAGGATCTCTGAAAGTATAAGAGCTAGTATAAACAAACTTGGTATCCAGATTCTCCTAAGTCCGAGAAAGGAGGAGTTTGTGTTTGTTTTTTCTGATGTATGTGTGTACGTATGACCCTGAAATCTTTATATTGGGCTTCAAGTGCTTCTTCGGACATCTTGTTAATAGGAAGTGCTACATAAGTAGTTAATAATGTCTGCAACTTGAATTAATACTTTGTGCACAGATAACGGCAATTAAAAACAAGTAAAAAAGCTAAAGTCGGGTGTCCCGACTTTGAAATACTCTGTGCATATGTTTGCAATATTTATAGAAAGTAAAAAAAATTAAGAAAACTACAAAAAAAAATGTTTGATCCATTTTACCTTTCTCGGTATTCGAACTCACGTAAATGGTGTATAATTGCACATTTACTTAGCAATTGCGCCTGTCTATTCGTGTCTGTGTAAACATGTTAGCAGTCAACCAAACAGCAACATCAACAACAGCCGCAGGCAGCGCTTGAGCAGCGTTGCAGCAGCAACAATATTTATGGCTATAACTTCTTGTTAAATCGGTCTATCATGGTAAAACTTGGCGTACGGACACATAATAACTAACTGGGGTATTTTCAAAATTTTAGTTCGAAATTCCAAGAATTACGGGAGTTAGCGAAAATTGCGAATTGCATGGGAGAGGGGGGAGGGAGGGAAATTCCAAAATACAAATTTTCTGCGTATTCACATAAGGCATCTGGGACTAAAATTTAGTGTTCCTAGGTCTTATAGTCTCCGAGATATAGGCGATTATACGAATGGAAAATCGGGAAAACCCCCATAGGGGGGAAGTGGGGGGGAAATCAAAAAAATAAAACAAACTCGTATAGCGTACACACATAAGGCATCTTTGTGCAAAATTTGGTGTCTCTAGCTCTTATAGTCTCTGAGATCTAGGTGATCATACGGACGGACAGACAGGGCTAAATCGACTCGTCTTGTCATGCTGATCAAGAATATATATACTTTGTGGGGTCTGCCACGCCTCCTTCTGCCTGTTACATTTTTCAGCTCCCGCAAACCTAATATACTCTTGTACAAGTACATTTCATGTCCGTCCGTATGATCACCTAGATCTCAGAGACTATAAGAGATAGAGACACCAAATTTTGCACAAAGATGCCTTATGTGTGTATTCTTTACGAGTTTGTTTTATTTTTTTGATTTCCCCCCACTTCCCCCCTATGGAGGTTTTCCCGATTTTCCATTCGTATAATCGCCTATATCTCGGAGACTATAAGAACACCAAATTTTAGTCCAAGATGCCTTATGTGAATACGCAGAAAATGTGTATTTTGGAATTTCCCTCCCTCCCCCCTCTCCCATGCAATTCGCAATTTTCGCTAACTCCCGTAATTCTTGGAATTTCGAACTAAAATTTTGAAAATACCCCAGTTAGTTATTATGTGTCCGTACGCCAAGTTTTACCATGATAGACCGATTTAACAAGAAGTTATAGCCATAAATATTGTTGCTGCTGCAACGCTGCTCAAGCGCTGCCTGCGGCTGTTGTTGATGTTGCTGTTTGGTTGACTGCACACATGTTTACACAGACACGAATAGATGCGCATAGGCTTACATACACTCACACAGACGCAATTGCTATGTAAATGTGCAATTATACACCCTTTACGTGAGTTCAAATACCGAAAAAGGTAAAATCGATCAAAAAAATTTTTGTTTTTTTTAATTTTCTCAATTTTTTATTTTCTATAATTATTGTAAACATATGTACAGAGTATTTCAAAGTCGGGACACCAGACTTTAGCTTTTTTACTTGTTTAACTTTTGAGCTTAAGAAAACACAAAATTTCTGAATTTCAAAAATATAAATATCGGCTTTAATCCCGCTAGATATGATATGAGATATCATTTGGGCCACTGTGCAAAAGGGAGGACAACAATTGTATGAAAAATCTGAAATTTTCATTCCATTGACTTGAGGCTTGGTTTTTGTAGTCTATGAAAGAAACCAAAAACACTGCTTACGTAGTTTTTCGCCATTTTTCTGATGCAGCAAATATGGGAGTTTTTCCCGTGGAAAAATTGGAACACAACCAACACCCCACAGCCCAAACGGTAAAAGATAGAATGCTGAAATTGGAGAAGCAGTTTTGAACACCAAAACGGGGAAACGAGCTGCAAAGTTTGTTTGAAAAATCTTCATTTTTCCACCGACCAACATCAAATTTGGTTTTTATAAGCTAAAAATAGCTTTAAAACAAGAGAGAACGCTATAGTCGAGCAAGCCCGACAGTAAAATAGCCTGTACTCTCCACAAAAAAGGTAAATTAAACAAGAGAGAACGCTACAGTCGAGCAAGCCCGACAGTGTAATACCCTGTACCCAGGTAAACTTCCGTCACTGAGTTATATGCGCCCATAGCAGCAGCAAAAAGAGGAAGAAGAAGAGCGAACTTGTTGCTGCAGTTTGGGGGGGGTTGTACTGGCGAGAATTTGTTTCGCTAATAACTTTTCTTAGAATTGACCGAATTGAATAAAACAACAGTAGACAATTATATATAAATTATGTGTGCAAAGTTTGGTTTAGGTAGCATTTGAAATGTGGACGCTATTGACGAAATTCTGTAGCGGGGGAAGGGGGGGAAAATTAAAAAAAATAAAATAAACTCGTCCTTACTCGGACCTAGGAGAATCTGGATACTTTGGTTATTCTAGCTTTTATAGTTTCTGAGATCCTCGCGTTCATCCAGACGGACGGACAGACGGACGGACATGTCTAGATCAAGAATCAAGATCAAGAATATATATACTTTATGGGGTCGGAGATGCTTCCTTCTGTATGTTACATACTTTGCACAAACCTAATATACCCTTTTTACCCTACGGGTACATGGTATAAAAAAAGAAAAAATTATAAAAAATTAAATTATTTAAAAAAAATGAATGAATTAATTAATTTAATTAAATTAGAATACATGTTTATGTTCAGTTTTAACAGCATACATTTACATCACGTACTTCTGCGTGTATGTATGCAGCACAAAGTTGAACCAAAGCAGCAACAACAGCTGCGGGCAGCGCTGCCGGCATAGCTGCGGGCAGCGCATGAGCAGCAATTTTATTTATGGCTGTGTGCTTTGGTGGATAAATAACCACGACGTTGAAGGCACGTATTTGGGATATATATATATATATATATATATATATATATATATATATATATATATATATATATATATATATATATATATATATTGTCCAGATAGCGTGGATGGATGTATATGGATATATATATATATATATATATATATATATATATATATATATATATATATATATA